ATGGTGACTGGCTGAATGTCAGCCCAGGAGCAACAATGCGAATCTGAATTATGTCCAGCACACCAACTGCAGCACCCCACAAAAGCTCTTCTCTTTTCTCTCCCCAGTCATGTTATACAACTACATAGTAAATGATGCAATCACTGGGGGTGTTTCCTTCCTCGTGGCATCCAGCTGTGTGGAGTTGGGGAAGGGAAGGGCACCAGGAGGACATCATCATGGGATGTGCTTCCATGGCAACTGGAGAGCTTGAGCTGGGGTTGCCCTTTGGGAAGCTGGCACTCCTTCCTTGGCATCCCATTAATTTCTGCCTGTAGCCTAACCGGTCTCCCCATTCCCACTCCAATTAATGGGTAGAATCATCAGCTAAACCTTTAATCAATTAATTGTCGAGGGTTCAAGATGTGCACTTGTCTAATTCTATGAGTCTGTCTTTGGTTCTGGTGTGTTCCTGTAAGAAGGTGTGGGAAATAAAATCTTAAAGTTGGACTTCCTTTGCCTAACAATGAGAGGTGGGGCTTTAGACCATGGGTAGGCAAACTAAGGCCCGGGGGCCGGATCCGGCCCAATCGCCTTCTCAATCCGGCCCGCGGATGGTCTGGGAATCAGCGTGTTTTTACATGAGTAGAATGTGTCCTTTTATTTAAAATGCATCTCTGGGTTATTTGTGGGGCATAGGAATTTGTTCTTTTTTTTCCTTTCCAAAATATAGTCCAGCCCCCAACAAGGTCTGAGGGACAGCCCTCTCCTGAAAAAGTTTGCTGACCCCTGTTTTAGACCATTTGTTAAGTGTCTTTAAAAAGGCACCTATCTGAGTGATATGCATTCACGATTCCTGCATTGTAAGGGGTTGGACTAGATGACCCTGGATGTCCCTTCCAACGCTACGATTCTGTGATTCATTTAAGCTGAGTTAATTAGTTGGTTAAATGGCAAGCAGTTAACGAACAAAAAGCCAAGAAGGTTTAATTGCTTGAGAGCCCTGCCATCCATTGCACCTTTTCAGCCATCCACATCTTCCTTTAATTATCAACGGCTCCTGCGCTCTGGGACTGAGACCTAAAGTGGAGCAGCCCTCTGTGACTTTAATGGTCACCCACAACCTGCAATCTGTTGGGTTCCTCGCAAGTGCCCTTGCCTTGACCTCCTGCCTTGTCAGTTTTACCAACCGCCTCTTCCTTGCTGTTGATTGTGATGTTCGCCAAAACTAATTACGCCTTCATAGCCCCTGCCTCTCATGTTCTCAGAGGCTAATGGTGAGCAGAGGAAGGCAGGATATGGGATTTTATAAGCAGAAGAAGTCCCCCCCCCCCCCGCCCGAACCAAATTGAAGAAAGCCAGGACTCGGTCGCGTGTGTACAGCTCGACTGGCGTCTGTACCTGTAGTAGCTCCCCAAAAACACTGGCAAGGATAGATGGCTTGCTTGTTGGAGATGCGGAGTGGAAACTGGCCACCGTGGGCTTATAGAATGATGCCAATTTGAGGGACGTGGGTGGCGCTGTGGGTTAAACCACAGAACCTAGGACTTGCTGATCAGAAGGTTGGCGGATCGAATCCCCGCAATGGGGTGAGCTCCCGTTGCTCGGTCCCTGCTCCTCCCAACCTAGCAGTTCGAAAGCCCATCAAAGTCCAAGTAGATAAATAGGTACTGCTCTGGTGGGAATGTAAACGGCGTTTCCGTGCACTGCTCTGGTTCGCCAGAAGCGGCTTAGTCATGCTGGCCACATGACCTGGAAGCTGTACGCCGGCTCCCTCAGCCAATAAAGCGAGATGAGCGCCGCAACCTCAGAGTCGGTCACGACTGGACCTAATGGTCAGGGGTCCCTTTACCTTTACCCATTCCAAAGGGCAGAAGCCTGTGTTGTCTGGTTGTGAGGCTAATGTGATAATTGGGAAGTCCCAGATTCAAATCTTGCCACTTCTACAGGCTCATTTAAGGCCACCCCAGTGAGCTCATGACAAGCCATGTTCCCACCTGTAACATAGAGATAATATGTAGGGATAATATTGATCTACCTTACTTGGAGGTTTAAAATGTAATGTGCTTTGAATATTGTGAAATGCTGCTGCTGTAGTAAGAATAACAGGTTGTAGCCAATGCTAGTCCTGCTCAGAGAAGGTCCACTGAAGTTAATGGATCCGACTAACTTAAGTGCATTAGTTTTGAGTACAACTTCGTTCTATACTATATTAGGATTATTATTACTACCACCATATCTGATTAGCTGGTCTAAATCCCAGGGATGTGGGTGATCATGTTAGCTCATTTATAAAGTTTCGCTTCACATGCTCCACTTCAAATTTTTGCACAGTCACCAGCTCGGCTATCTGTTTGTAATTGTAACTGTGTATTTGTTTACTTGCACCAAGACACCAAAAGGCCAAAGAGTTTTGACAAAGGTCGGCTGCAGAGCAATCCTCATTGTTTGCTAAAGCAGCTGGCTTGTTGTTCTAGTACAGGCTTCCTCAATCTCGGACCTCCAGATGTTTTTGGCTTACAAGTCCAATGACCAGTGGTCTGGGATGCTGGGAATTGTAGTCTTAAAAGTAGTTCGAATCATAGAATGGTAGAAAGCTTACTAGTTATGGTCAGTGTCAACAAAATGTTTAGAGATCAAGAAGGTCTTGGTGGAGCTGCCCACATTTAGTCCACCATGCAAATATGGGAGCTCTACTGGTAGACAGGATTCAGTATTAAAGCTTTAGACCATCCAAATGTTTTCTATAAAGCTCCAAGTAATTAAGAATACTCAGAGTAGACCTATTTAAATTAATAGACTGGAGTTAGTCATGACCATTAATTTCAATGGGCCTACCCTGAATAAAAGTCAGTTGAATACAATCCTGGGCATGTTGGTTCAGTTGTAAATCCAAAAACCTATCTGGGCTGCAGTCTCACTGAACTCAACTGTTCCCTGTGTTTCGGGGGAGGCGAGGCCAAAGATGTTTTTTAAAAAATATATAATTTTTTATTAGTTTTTTTAAATCATATCATTTTCAACAGTAATTAAACATACTTTTACATCTTATTCAAATTTTTGACTTCCATCAGATGTTAAATCCAGGATGGAGAACATGTAGCCTTCCAGATGTCGTTGGACTTCAACTCCCATCAGCCCTAGCCCATGCAGCTACTGGTCAGGGATCATGGGAGTTGTATTCCAGACATATCACCACTCTCCCTGTCAGACTATCATAGCCTGGAATTCACCCCAAACCATCAAAGAACAGTGAGGACCAGAGAAAGACCTTCCCTGGTGGTTGGATTGATCTCAGCGCTGGATCTTCCTCCTGCTGGTTCATCCAAGCAGCCAACTTCAGCCTTCCCTATAACTGAGGAACTAGTTAAAGTGGGTTTTCAATGACCATGGCTTAGCAGTGGGATATTTTGTTTGTGTGTTCTTCTTTCGTAATTGAAATATTTGTTACTTACGTAGATGGTGCACATTTTGCCAGAGCTCTGCATACTGTCATATGTGTTGGTTCTATACTATCGCATGTCTCACTGCTTTCTTTATTGCTTGTATAATCTCAGGAATATCCATCCATCCATCCATCAGTGAGAGGAGTCCAAGATGCTTAAATTGAGATATTTCTAGCCCTTCAGAGAAAGAAATGAAACTACCAGTTTCTGCCTTTCTTGCCAGCTGTTTCATGTCACAATCAACCATAAGGATTTGTTTTCTTTTTTGAACTGCCCCCATCATCCTAATAAATTGAAATCTGCTTTCCCTTTGAGCTTTAAAGAACTCCTCAGTTTCCTTCAGAGCTAAGAGTCTCAAATATTGCAGGGGATGGGGCTTTGAAATGATGAAAAATGACCATGTTTTGTATGTTCACAAAAATATCAAGTTGACACTGCACTTCTGCCATTGAGAGAAGGGGAGGAATATAATAGCAGACTCATTCCCTGGACTGTTTAGTATTCTAAGAAACCAGGGAAGTTTTTTAAGGTTCAGTCTGCCATCTTGATTCTGCAGCTTGGGGCCCCCAAACCTCTTTCCTTACAAACTTACCTGAACCCTACATGTGTCACCAGAAGCCATTGTCTGTGTGTCTCCGGTGAGGGAGCTATGAAGGGTGGCAATGAAAGAAAGGGCCTTTTCAGTGGTAGCTCCCCAATTACAGAACACTCTTTCCAGGGAAACTTACCTGGGCTCAACATCGCCAACATTATCTCCCAGGCCAAAACATTCAGGTGTTTGGATATTCATTTAATCATAATGTAGTATGGCCTGGTTTGGAGTTCAGCTCTTGGTAGAATCAGATTCATTTTATTATCATTGATGTACCCTTTTATTGTTTTTATATTTTACTCCACGTTAGGAATTTTAAATGCTTCAGTTGCTATGCATTTTAATATTTTGTAAGTTGATTTGAGATGGTCTGTAAAAAGCAATTAAATAATAATAGTACCAGCAACCTCATCTTTTCAGAAGCCTGAGTCCAATGAACAGAGGGTTGTCTCTAATTTAGCGCTAAGTTAAAGTCATGTAGCGGGATCCTTGTTCTGCTGGTGAAAGGTTTTGCACTAGTGGGATGCTGTTGCGCAAGAGAATGCATAAGCAGGTTGCTGGTAATTTTGTAGCACAACAGACTGTTGTGCTGAGTTCCTCTGTTGCACAACATTACAACCCAACCGCCCACTCTACGTAAGGGTCTTTGGACCAGCAGACAGAGAACATTGGCTACAGCCTAAAGGCAACGCAGACAAGAGAATCCACCTTCTGCATCATGTCCATCTCTTGGGAATTCGTTTAACAGGTCCTTTCCCATTTCTGCAGGTGCCTCAAAGATGATGAGTTACTATATGGATACGACTATTGGAAGCCCAGCCCCCTATCCTCTGGCCCGCCCTGCTGTGATGGTAAGGAAGGCTCTGCTGGGCACAATATTTGGGTGGGGAGGCAACACAAGGCAGAGAATGAACCGATCTCAGCCAGGGTTCAAATCAACTGAGTTTAAACATTCAGAATAAACAGAGGATTCAATTCTGTGAGCGCTTGCTTGGGTGGTTAGAGCGTGGCGCTGATAACGCCAAGGTTGCAGGTTCAATCCCTGCATGGGACAGCTGCATATTCCTGCATTGCAGGAGGTTGGACTAGAATGATTCTCAAGATCCCTTCCAACTCTGCAAGTCAGTGATTCTATAAATAAGTTCCACTGAGCTCACTCAGACTTCGGAGTAAGCAGACTTCTTGTACAAGCTGGAGATGGGAGAGAAATTAGATTCAGTGTGTATTTGAAGGCAATCCTACATAATCTGTACTTTCCGAATCTGCATTGCAAGGGGTTGGGCTGGATGACCCTCTTGATCCCTTTCAACCCAACAATTCTATGAAACAAAATGCAAGCCGCAAAACAAAGCATCCTTCGATAAGTCAAACTTCCTGGTTTTCTAAGTAAACTTAAAGAAATGGACTTGGAGATTGGGCTTGGTTGCTTGGTTCATGCGTGCATTTCACCCCTTGATATCTCAGCACCTGATAGTCCACTTCACACATGCCTTGGTGTGGGGATAGGCATTCAGGGTATCCTCCCCCTTTTTATTGGTGCTCATGCAGGAAGGATCTCGGGGTGTCTGTCTTGATTCATGTGAAAGGCAAGGGGTGCTGTGAGTTTCACATTCCCTGCTGCCTTCCATTGCGAGCACAGCCCGCTCAGACAGGTGACTCACATCTGAAGATGTGAGCAGCCTCCGTCAAGGAGCAATTCTGAGCAACGTGAGATCTCTGCAGGGTGTGACCCTCACACTGGGAGCTGCCAGTCAACCAGGGTGGGGGGCTGGTTTTCTGATTCCTTTGCTTTGGGCCAGCTGCCAGTGAAGGGAAGGCCTTTCTGCCTCCTCTCAGAAAAGGCTGTCTTCAATGCACAGAGTGCTTTTGTGCTGGGGTCGGTCCCCAGACATGTGCAAAAACATTGGGCTTCACTCCCAATCTGCCCCCAGCCACTGGGCATCACCTCCAGGCTCTGTCATGTACCCTGAAGATCCACCCATCATTGGCTATTTCCACAAACACCACCTTCGCAGTTTCAAGAGTTAGCAATCAAGTGGCCATTGCCAAGGAAGAGGAAATGGGTCATGAAACAAAGAGTGCAGGAGAGGAGACAAATTTGTACAAATGTTGCCTCTGCCAATTTACATGGGGTTGCACCCAAGGTTAAAGGCCAGGCATAGCCTAACTCGGCTCTCCAGATGTTTTTGGCCTACAACTCCCATGATCCCTAGCTAGCAGGACCAGTGGTCAGGGGATGATGGGAACTGTAGTCCTAAAACATCTGGAGGGCCAAGTTTGCCTATGCCTGTTAAAGGTCCTTAGTGGGATCCTCTTTCCGCCAGTGAAATGTTTTGCACCAGTTGTGCAAGAGGGTGGACGAGTAGTTTGCTGGTAACCTCGTCGCATGATAGATTGCACAATTTGTAGCACAATTTCACACTAGCACAATGGTCACACCAGATTTCTATGTTGCAGAACGTGTTAAAACCTCGCTTGTCTGCTGGCTCAGCAGCCCCTGAACTAGTGGATGGAGAACACTAGATACAGCCCTGAGTCTAAATACACACTTCAAAAGTAGGGTCCTGGGAAACTAGTTGGAACCTCGTAGATTCCTGAATGCTCCGGGGAACTTTGCAGAGCCTAGAGATCTCTGTGAGATGATCTCTGTGAGATCTCTGTGAGATGGCACTCAAAGAAAATAAGGTACTGTTTGTATTGAGGTGTTTCTCGTGTTAGGCCTCAGAAGCCAGGAGAGAATGCAGAACACGTCATTGGCAGAAGGTCTGCTGAGCCTGCTATTATTTTGGGATAACAGGAAAAAGAGTTTCCTTCCCCTGAACTCAGCTGTCCCAAGGTCTGGCCCCATCTAGGCAACTGGCCTCCCCCATTATCACCCCCCACAAGCTGTTTCCTTGTTACACCTTTTCTTTCCATAGATGGCAAACAGGAGTTGTAGCCAGGATTTTTGTTGCGGGGGACGGGACAGGATAGGCCTTTTGTTAGAGGGGGCATAACCTCAGTTTGTTATGTATCTTTATTTAATTTTATTGATCTAGGGGGGCAGCTGCCTCCCCTTGGCTACACCCATGTGTGCCACATTATTTCTAAAAGACCTGCTTGTTTAAGCCAGTGGTGACATTGTCTTGCTTGCTTTTGGGGTTAGCAGTGGGGTGGGGTGGGGAAAATACATTGTGGTGTTTTTTAAGGGCTGTGGTTGATGGTTTTTACACACACACCATAGGGTTGCCTCATTCTCATTTTCTGACACAATCCGTGCGTCGAAACCCAGCCCTCCTTTGAGATTTGCACTTCTCTGAATTATGCAGTGCATTTCTGTAGCCAGGCAATGGGTGCAAAAAACCCCCACAAACCTTCTGCAACATGGGAGTAAGACCCATGGGCTGGTATCCCTCCAATTAGTAAGTTCTACTTAGAGTAGACCCATTGAAATAAATGAACCTAAGTTAGGCATGCCCACTATCTTCTTTATTTATTAAATTTATATACAGTGGTACCTCGGGTTACATACGCTTCAGGTTACATACGCTTCAGGTTACAGACTCCGCTAACCCAGAAATAGTACCTTGGGTTAAGAACTTTGCTTCAGGATGAGAACAGAAATCGCGGCGCGGTGGCAGTGGGAGGCCCCATTAGCTAAAGTGGTACCTCAAGTTAAGAACAGTTTCAGGTTAAGAACGGACCTCTGGAACGAATTAAGTTCTTAACCCGAGGTACCACTGTACTGCCCTTCAACCGAGGATCACAGGTCAGTTTACATTATAAAAATACAAAAACATGTAGTGTAGTAACAAACAAAACAATAATCACCCCCCACCCCAGAGAGTTATCTGTCAGGGATTCTTAAGCAGTGATACCTGCATTACGAGGGTGTTGGGCTAAATGATGCCTCATATAACTCATATAGCCAATGCTCTTTTTAAGGGAGTGCTCAAGGGTACTGCAACAACTTCATGGTGAGTACTGGCGCCTGTTTTTCGGGGGGGGGGGGCATTGCAGCTCATACAGCACCATATAGCTCAGTTGGTTAGGGCTGATAACGCCAAGGTTGCAGGTTCGATCCCCATATGGGGCAGCTGCACATTCCTGCATTGCAGGGGGTTGAACTACTAGATGATCCTCAGGGTCCCTTCCAGCCCTACACTTCTGTGATTCTACTCTGAGTAGGGCAAGTGCTGGAGGCAACCCTGCAGTGCCCATCTCCCTCCCTTGAGTGCCTCAAAGTTGCCTCTCATGCACTTGGGGCTACTAAGGGCAACTTGGCCGAAGGGTTCCCAACAACGCACATATCCGTCAATCTCCCCGGTTTGCTTGCATTGACCCTCCTGGATCATCTTGACATTTGTGGTGGCATCCAGTTACTGGTAGCCATGTTCCACGGTGGAATTCTTCCAAGGCCAGCTTTGGCAGTTTTGTTGCTTGAGGATTCTGACTCTGTGGTGAGCTGTAGACAGTCAGTGTTATTTCCCCGCCTGGGGAATGTTGTGGTTGCTCTGACGGAGTCAGAATTTCACATGTCGCCCTTGCAGGGCTTGATCCTAATAACTTCTGATATCGGTGGAAGCTGAGCCTGTGTGGGAATCCTCTCCTGAAGCATTAGTCAGTTTCTGGATTAATCCTGCTTGGCATTCCGGGCCCATAAAGCGCTCAGAGACATGGCTGGCATGTACTCTTTCCTGAAATGTATAACCGTGAATATACATATGGAGCCAAAGAAATATCAGAAGATTTTGGAGCAATGCAAATGTGGGAAATCAATGCATGGCAGTGGGGGAGTGTGATGACAGGATTGCACCCCGACATCTCTGTCACAGCCCTGGCTGCCTCCCCACACTTGACCTAAGATCTACACCAGGCATAGGCACACTCTGGCCCTCCAGATATTTGGGACTACAATTCCCATCATCCCTATCTAACAGGACCAGTGGTCAGGGATAAACACTGACAACTGGGAAACACTGGCCTGCGAGTGCTCCATTTGGAGAACAGCCTTTACCAAAGGTGTCATGGGCTTTGAAGACACTCGAACGCAGGACACAAGGGAGAAACATGCTAAGAGGAAGGCACACGTGGCAAATCCACACTGTGATCAACTCCCGCCCAGAAACCAATGTCCCCACTGTGGAAGGCAGTGGTTCTCCAGGGTTTCAAGCAAATTTCTCTGCCTGCCCTACCTAGAGACACCAGGGATTGAACCTGGAACCTTCTGTATGCAAGGCAAGTTCTCCACCACTGAGCTACGGTCCTACTTACGGTAGATGCAGCAAATGGCCAATTCCAAGCCTGGGCTCAAAGGTTGCTCCTTCACCAGTTAAGCCACTCCCCCCCCCCAAAAAGCAGCTTCTTTTTGTGACCTAAGATCTGTTCCAAAGGGCGGTCTCGTGTGGCAGCAACTTCCAGGGAGTTTTCTTGTCCATTTTCTTTTTTTTTTCTTTTACTTTAAAAAAGAAACAGAGTTCCTGGCGTTGTTTGTCTAAAATTATTCCTGCCTTCCTGTCGCTTCCTATGGCTGAGCCTCCCCCAGCTCCCTGGGGGACAGGAACGTGTGACAGTGCCGCCGCTGTGCTGGTGGAAGGATATGGGTGGGGCAGCAAGGGCTGCAGAAAGCCGCCCTCCGTTTTGAAACAGGCTGCAAGAGTCGGGCCAGAGCGTTAACGTTGGGTTGCTTCCAGAGTGTTGGAAGGCAGAGATGCTCAAACAGAGATGCAGGCAATGGGGCAGTTTCAGATGCTGGATTTAGGGGAAAGATAATAGCTTTGCATGCAGAAGAGTGCAGGTTCAATCCCTGGTAAGGTCTCCCTTGCTGAAAATCCAGGAGAGATGCTGCCAGTCAGTGTAGACAGTACTGAGCTAAGTGGACCAATAGTTTGATAAGGCTATAATAGTTCTTACATGGCCCCATCTTTTCAAGTCAGGGATGCAGAATCTGTGGCACTCCAGTTGTTGTTGGACTGCACCACCCATTGGTTATACTGGGAGTCCTGCAACATCTGGACATCTGCAGACCCCCCCAAAAAAATCCCTGCATTATAGAATCATAGCATTGCAAGGGACCCCCAAGCGACAGCTAGTCCAATTCCCCTGCAATGCAGGAATCTCAGCTAAAGCATCCCTGACATACGGCCATCCAACCTCTGCTTAAAAACCTCCAAGGAAGGACAATGGCAACAATGGAGTTGTGTCCATTGATTTCGCAGGGTTTATTCTGAGTAGGACTAACATTGAATACAACCGCATGTGCATCACTTCCTTTTCTTCAAACTGTAGGAAGCCGGACTCCTCCCCACTGTACTTTGGGGGCTCCTCCAGCTCATGCTGAGTGGGCCCCTGGACATCTGCCCTAAAGTCCTGCCCCGATCGCCTGCCCCGATGTCTTCTAAAGACATCTCTTTTTGCCCAGGCGTTCTCTGACCCATGAGACTTGACCTTGTTATTACTGAGTATATGTTTTTATCTGCTTATAGAATAACGGTTGACTGTTTTTATTCATTGAATTTATATTCCTCCCTTCCTCCCAAAGGAGTCCCAGACAGCAAACGCACAACCAATTTCAAAACAAAAGCACGGCAAAGCATTCTAAAAACAATTTTAGTTAAAAACATCTAAAGTTTCACTTTGCACAGTTTCAATTGAAAAACATTCTAAAGGCAATTCCGATTAAAAATATTCTTCCGTCCAGTGATCTCAAGGTTGCCGGGAATGGTCTTCCTCACCCACCAAATGTAAACAGGGATGTTTTCAAATTCATCCTGAAAGTTAATAAGGAGGGAGAAAAGCGCACCTCACTGGGGAGGTGATTCCACAATCAGGGAGCCACCACTGAAAAGGCCCTGTGGCAGCATTGCCAACATTTATGTTGAAACTAATTTTCAGAATTCAGATTTCAGAATCTAATGATTTGCAGCATGTTCAGCCCTTTCTGTCTCTCTTGACTTGAGTGGGAAAGAGATGGAGAATCACACAAACACTGCAAAGAGCTGGGGGGGTGTTGTCCTTTCTTGGTGTGGAACCTCCTGGGAGCCGCATTCAGTAATGGGTTTTCCCATTGTATAGTCCAGATAGGAGGTTTGTGCACCCCCGCTTCTCCCCATCTCCAGATGGAGCATCTTTCCAGTTCAGGGGCCCAGTCCAGCTGGATAAGAGCACTCAAGGAGGACCTGGATTGACCTGGGGAAGGGATAGCTAAGGGAGAATCCCAAACGCTGCACAGAAAAAGCTGGAGAACCACATGTGCCCTATTCAGCTCTAGGGGTTCCCTATCCCTGCTCTGCAGTTTGATGCACTGGGTGCATCAAAAACCCATCAAATGCACCTGTGGACCAGGGTGCACTTTGTAGAAGCATTTGCCAAGGCCCCGGTTACTTTCAAAGAATCATAGAACTGTAGAATGGGATGGGACCCTGAGGACCATCTTCTCCAGCCCCCTGCAATGCAGAAATAGGTAGCTGCCCCATACAAGGATTGAACCTGCAACCTTGGTGTTATCAGCAGCATGCTCTAACAAACAAAGCTACAGTGGTACCTCGGGTTAAGAACTTAATTCGTTCTGGAGGTCCGTTCTTAACCTGAAACTGTTCTTAACCTGAGGTACCACTTTAGCTAACGGGGTCTCGTGCTGCGCCACCACCGCACGGTTTCTGTTTTCATCCTGAAGCAAAGTTCTTAACCCGAGGTACTATTTCTGGGTTAATGGAGTCTGTAACCTGAAGCGTCTGTAACCCAAGGTACCACTGTATCCAGGCTCAAAGAACCATAGAATGATAGAGTTGGAAGGGACTCCAATGTTCTTCTCATCCAACCCCTTGCAATGCAGTAATCGCAACTAAAGCATCCCTGACAGGTGGTCATCTAACCTCTAGTTTAAATCCTTCAATGAAGGAGAGTCCACCACCTTTTGAGGGAGTCCGTTCCCCTGTCAAACAACCCTGACTGCCAGAAAATTCTTCCTAATGTCTAGTCAGGATCTCCTTTCTTGCAATTTGAGTCCCTTGGTTCAGATCCTACCTTCTGGAGCAGCAGAAAACAAGCTTGCTCCATTGCTCCATGCGGCGGCCCTTCAGCTATTTGAAAAGATGGCTCTCGTATCTCCTCTTGGACTCCACCTTTCCGGGCTAAGCATCCCTAACTTCCTCAACTGGTCCTCACAAAGCTTGGACCCTTGATCATCGTGGTCCTCTGCACGCTTCGCAGCTTGCACACTTTGAGGTGACTGCCTTCGGCGTCATTCCTCTGGAAACCTTTGCTCAGCCAGGTGTGCTTCTCTTTCCCACAGAGGCAGGGAGATGTCAACCCTTACGAAGACCCGTGGGCGACCTGTGGGTTCCAGTCCACCTGCTACCAGCAGAGGGCATTCTACCCACTCTGGGATGAAGCGAACATCCAGGAAGTGCCCACGGGGCTTGAATATCACAGCACAGGTAGGTCTCCTCTTGGTTCTGGCAAAGGCATTTTCCTATTTCCCCACCGCAGAATCTTTTCCCCCCCTGCCATCATGTCACACTGTATAGAGGGAATGTTGATTCTGGAAGCCCGGCTTCGGTTCTTGACCCCTTCACGTGGTCTCTCTCGTTCAGCCTCAGTTATCTACCCTAGCTGTCTGCAAAATATTCATTTATCCTTTTCGTGAAATTGACACATTGCTTGTTTGTTTGTTTTAAAAAAGAAAGGTTTACAAAAAAAAGTGAAACAGTAAAATAATAAATAGGGAAAGAGTAACAGCAATTTAAGACTTTCAGAAAGTTAAGAGATTGAACCAGATGAAACCCGCCTCCCCCCCACAACTTTCTAAGCACCCGGACAGGCTTGACGAAACAAGTGTGTCTTTTTCGGCAGGTGCCGAAAAGGGTACAGCAAAGGTTACTGCCTGGTTTCAAGAGGCAGGGAGTTCCAAGGTGCAAGTTGTGCCACTAATGAATTCTTTCAGGTGTTATGTGGGACATGTAACCGTTCGAGTTCCGCCAATGCGGTCAAGTAGGTACATAAATATATGATGCTAAGAATAATCATGGCCGCCAGCATATGTGGGGTTGATTTTACAGGGGACGAGCCTAGCGATGGCTCCTGCTTGTGATGGTGAGGCAGAAGGAAACTCCATGTTCTCCTGAGGCTGTTGCATCAGGGAAGGGAATTAGCTCATTGGCAGAACACCTGCTTTGCATGTAGAAGGCCTCAGGTTGAAGCCCCAGCATCTTCCGGTAGGGCTGGGAATGTCCCCTGCCTAAAACCCCGGACAGCTGCTGCCTGTCAGTGTCAAGAGTATTGAGCTAGAATGAACCAATGGTCTAGCTCAGGGTAAAGCTGGTTCCTAAATGGTCCTGATGCTGAGGACAATTAACTAGGGAAGCAGGCTGCTGCTGCTGCTTCCACCTTCGTGGGCCACTTTCTGGCAAGTCAGGAACAGCCAATGTGCTGTGCAGCTCCCCTCGCCCTGTGCTGTTGTTGACTACAACTCCCATCATCCCTAGCTATGGCAGCTTGAGTCCACCAAATCTTCAGAGTGCCCTGCTTTGGCCAAGCTCAGCTGGACTAGGTGGAAACAGGGCCTGCCTGATCCTGTGTACAGTGCTGGCTGCCTCACTTCAAAGAGGAGATTGTGGACTTGGAAAAGGTTCAGAAAAGGATGGCCAAAAGGATCAAGGGCATGGAGTGACTTCCCTTTGATGAAAGGTTGAAGCATTTGGGATTATTATTATTTTAGTTTAGAGAAAAAGTGAATAAGAGGAGACATGATAAAGGTCTGTAAAATTATGCATGGTATGCTGAATGTGGACAGAGAAAAGCTTTTCTCCATCTCTCATAACACAAGAAGTCATGGACTTCCAACGAAGGTGACTGCTGGAAGATTTGGGACAGATAGAAGAAAGTCCTTCTTCACACAGTGTATAGTTAAATGGTGGAACTTGCTCCCTCCGGAGGCAGCGATGGTCCCCAACCTAGATAGCTTTAAAAGAGGATTAGAGAAATTGATGGAGGAGGAGAAGGCTATTGATAGCTACTAGCCAGCATGGCTGTGTTCTGCCTCTAAGGTCAGAGGCAGTGATGCTTCTGAATTCCAGCTCCAGGAAACCACAGGAGGGGAGAGGGCTCTTGTGTTCAGATCCTGCCTGTGTGTTTCCTATTGGGGCATCTGGTTGGCCACAGCGAGAACAGGATGCTGGACTAGGTGGGCCCCCCTTTAGCCTGATCCAGATTGCTCATCTTATGTTCTTATTACCCAGCAGATGCTCTTCTTCCAACACCCTTCTGTT